TTTAAAATGTTTAAGACGCCAAGGACATGGCAAAAAGGAGATGGACATAACTCAAAAGATGTGAGAACACTATCAAGAGGGAATAAATTGTAGGTCATAGAGCAAGTCACACATTAGGCAAACTGGCTGAGGCCACGTGTCACTGATGGGACTGATCTCTCTCTGCACAGGCATGTCTGAAAGAAATTCGACTTCAGGCAGAAAGAAACACATCAGTTGTCCTCTGCACAGTGCAGCCCTCTACACCCTCCCACTGGCCAACAGCCTGACAGTCCGACTGGGAGAAAATCAAAGACGCGATTGAGTGAGGGCTCCTCTGGGTTTGTGCCCAGGAGTCACAAGATCCAGGACAAAGTATGAAGGCATGACCACAGCGGCCTTCTAAGAATGCCTGAGAGGCCAGTCCTCAAGGTTTTCTATTTCCCTGAGGACAGAGGGAAGCGTCTTAGAACAAGGCTGTGGCTGCCCTGTGGACAGCATGCAACAAACAAATTTGTGTCGCCTGCTTCACTTGGGGCGGAGCAAGAAGAGAGGAAGCCAAGAGAAGGGCAGAGGGGATCCAGAAAACAGGCACCACGAAGCATCACCCCACTGGATCCAGCCTGTCTCTCTGCGTTTCCGCCCCACCCCTCCTGGCTTCAGGGCATCATCGTGCCTGCTGTTGCCTCTGCACGAGCCTCCCTCTTCCTCCCCACACAGTGAGGACTGACCTCCCTCAGACTGTGGTCTAGGTCACCACCTTCAGAAGTCTTCCTGTTGCCTTGGTTCATGCTCCTTCCATACTCTGCACTCACCTGTGACAGTTTACATCCTCTCTAGTGGTTTCTTAGAGGGCTGTACCTCTAAAACATCAGAGAGGGCTGGACCTCTAAATTTTTTTCTTCCATATATTGAGGTAAGCTTTAACCTATTTTAATCAAAGCTATGCCCAACAAAAAAGAAGAATATACAAAACTATTGATACTTTCATCACCCTGAGATTTGGGGCATCAATGCCTTGGTAGATAGGAATCTTTTCACATTAGAGGGGTTCAGAGATTGGGCTTTGTAGTTAAATCAGCTTGAGTTGAAATCTCAAATCTGTTTGAGCTTAGATAAACTAGTCTCCCTGAACCTCGGCTTTTTCTTGTGTAAACAGCAACAGTAAAGTTGCCACAAGGTTTTTGTGAGGATTAAATGATATGATCCACATAAATCCCCTAAGCAAAGTATACAAAATGTGTGTGTTTGTGTGTGTGTGTGTGTGTGTGTGTGTGTGGTAAGAGACACATAAAAGTTCATCATTTCAAGCATTTCAAGGTGGAAAAGTCAGTGGCATTTAGTAAATTTACCGTATTATGCAACTATCAGTATTTCCAGAATACTTTTATCACCCCAAAAGGAAACCCCACACCCATTAGGTCGTCACTCTCCATTCCCCCTCCCCAGCTCCTGGCAACCACTAATCTGCTTTCTATCTCTATGGAAAATCACTCTCTCTTCCGCCTTTTTCTCTCTTTTAGTTTTTTCCTGACAGCTTGGTCAAATGTCTCTCATCAAACAAAAAAAATCGAACTTTAAAAAGGAAACAAGAATACTACTACAAAACACACATATAAATGTGTTCACAGATTGGAAGAATTAATATCATTAAAATGTCTATATTACCATAAGCAATGCATAGATTCAATGCCATCTCTATCAAAATACCAATGGCATATTTCACAGATATAGAACCAATATTTCAAAAATTTATGTGGAACCATAAATAACCCCTATTAGCCTCAGCAATTCTGAGAGAAAAGAACAAAGTAGAAGAGATCACAGTACCTGACATCAAACTATATTATAAGGCAACTATAATCAAACAGTCTGGTACTGGCAGAAGAACAGATATGTAGATCAATGGAACAGACTAGAGAGCCCAGAAATAAACCCATGGCTCAATGGTCAGTTAATATTTGACAAAGGGGGCAGGAACATAAAACTGAGTAAAAGTAGCCTCTTCAATACATGCTGTTGGGAGAATTGGACATGTATATGCAAAAAAATGAAAGCAGACCACCAACTTACACCATACACCAAAATAAACCCAAGATGGATAAAAGACTTAAATATAGTTGTGATGCCATAAGTCCTAGAGGAGAACTCAGCAGGAAAACTTCAGATACCCCATGCAGTAATATTTTCACCAGTATGTCCCCTAGAGCAAGGGACATAAAGAATAAACAAATGGGGCTACATCAGACTGAAAAGCTTCTGCACGGCCAAAGAAAACATCATGAAAATGAAAAGGGAACCAATAACAATGAAGGACAGGTGAACAAAACCAAGGGGGGCTGGAATCAGGGGAGGGAAGTGGGGATGGTTGGAGTTGGGGGGAGTGGTAAGGAGAAAATACAGACAACTGTAGTTGAACAACAATTAAATAATTCAAAATAACATTTGCCAATGATACCTCAGATAAGAGTGATCTCCAAAATATAGGAAGAACTCACACAACTCCATACCAGGAAGATAAGCAATCCAATTAAAAAATTGGCAAAAGGCCTAAACAGACACTTCTCCAAGGAGGACATACAGAGGGCCCATAGACACATAAAAAATGCTCAATATCACTAGCCATTAGAGAGATGCAAATTAAAACCACTATGAGATACCACTTCACACCAGTCACATTGGCCTTCACTAGTAAATCAACAAACAGCAAGTGCTGATGAGGTTGTGGAGAAAAGGGAACCCTAGTGCACTGTTGGTAGGAATGCAGATGGGTGCGGCCACTGTGGAAAACAGCATGGAATTTCCTTAAAAAGCTAAAAATGAAACTGCCTTTTAATTCAGCAATGCCACTGCTGCAATTATAGCCTAAGAATCCTGAACCACCAGTTCAAAAGAACCTATGTACCTCAATGTTCATAGCAACATTATGTATGATAGGCAAGTGCTGGAAAGAGTCTTAGTGCCCATCAGTAAATGAGTAGATAAAAAAACTGTGGTACATTTACATAATGGAATACTACACAGCAGAAAGCAAGAAGGAACTCCTACCCTTAGCGACAGCATGGATGCATCTGGAGAGCATTATGCTAAGTGAAATAAGCCAGGTGGTGAAAGACAAATACCGTATGATCTTACCTATAAGTGAAACCTAATCAATAAAACAAACAAATGAGCAAAAGAGAACCAGAGACTTGGAAATAAAGAACAAATTGACAGTGACCAGAAAGGGTGGGGAGAAGAATACGGGGGAAAGAAGGGGAAGGGACAAGCAAAGGAACATGAATAAAGAACTCATGGGCATGGCCAATATGGGGGGGTTGACTGTGGGAGTCGGGGGATGGCAACTGAGTAGGGGTGAGCAATTGGGAAAAGGCTGGACAACTGTAACAGAACAACAACAATTAAAAAAAAATGATTCGACACATCTCCTTGAGCCACTGTCTTAACCGTTTCATCACCAGACTTGTTGAAGAGTGATGGGTCTGTGCTTGGTTGATTTCTATCCTTCAGCTCACTTACCCTAAACCCTAAAACCTGGCTCTTGTTAGGGTGACAGGGGCCTCCCAGTTGTCAAATCCTTGTCCTATTTCCAGCCTTCATCCTTCTTAATTATTCTGTACCACGTGAAGCTGTGGACCACTCTCCCTCCTTGAAACCCTCTTTCCTTTGATTCCAAAGCCACTTGTCCCATCTCTCTGGACACTGCACTTCAGTCTCCAGTGCTGGTAAGTGCTCCTCAGTGCTCCTCTCCCTCCTCACCTCTCCTTGTGTGGTCACATCCATTGCCCCTGCTTCAGCTACCACATGGACACCGGTGACCTCCATCTCCCTCCTGAATTCCAGATTCAAATGCCGACCTGCCCATTGGACTCCTGGATGTCCTCCAGACATCTCAGGTTCAACATGACCAAACCAAATTGTCCAAAACCCATTTAATGATCTAGATTGCTAATCTCACTGGTGGTGTACAAACTCCTGAGTTTCCCAAACTGGAAATTTCCCAATCATCTGTGGCTCCTCTCTTTTTCTAATTTTTCTTTCCCAACTGGATAACAAATTCTGTCCATATAATTCAGAAGCATTTCTTGAGTCCTATTCCTTCTGTCCACCCCTATTGTCACTCTCTTAGTTCAGATTCCCAACATCTCTTCTCTCAGCAGTGACATAACCTTTTCTTTGTAGCCACGTATGTTCCTTCCATAACTCTCATAGATATATCCTTAAAATACAAAAGTAGGCATGTCGTTGTCCTATTTAAATATCTCCCTCTCCTAGAAAATAGTTAAATCCCTCACTCCACCGCATCTGGCCCTGACTAACCTTCACCCTCAGTGCCCACACCTGTGAGGACCTGCCACGCAAACCCTCCACTCCCCGCCATGGGCTTTTAGGCCAAGCTGCCTCCAGTTCCTGGCTGCAGAGGTGTGGCCCATGGCTCGGATGAGCCAATCTCCACCCTTCTGGCCTCAGTAATTGGTTCAGACCCAAGTCAGAGCCAATGAACACGATTCTGGGCTTTTTTTGATCTTTGCACTGTACATGAAGAAAACCTCACCCTGGTGACATCCTCTTGGATCAAACCCTACCCCCAAATACATTCACTCCCAAATACTACTTCTTTTTTGCTTAAGATAGTTTGAGTTGGATTTTGTGTTACCTGCATAACATCTGGGGGTGGGAGCCAATCATCAGTAGTATTTAGAGATCTCAGGTGATTCCAGTGCATGGTGAAGACTGGGGACCACTGCTTTAAGCAAACCAAGCTGCTTTTTCCACTGATGCCCCAGCTCCCTGCCCACCAACTTCCCAGAGCTCTTTTTGCACCATATTATTGCCCTGCCTCCCTCTTGGAACTCAGAGCATCTTAATGCCAGATTCATGTCTTTATTCCTCTGCCTTGAAGATGGTAAGTCATCAGTAAGTGTTAAAGAATGAATGAGTAAATAAGACAGACAGAGAGAGAGAGAGGGAGACAAGGCCATGCCATCTTCTTGTGTATATATTTTTCAAGGTACCTTTTACTGAGTACAAAGTATAAGGATGTTCAGGCTCTGGAGACAGCACCCTTGCCCAAATCCTGGTTCAGTGTCACGCCCAGGCAGAACTCAACTGCTCAGTGCCTTCTTTCCTCATCTATAAAATGTAAATAACAATAGCGCTTACATCACACTGATTTCGTAAGTTAACATATATAAAATTCTTAAAACATTGCTTGGTACATAATAAGCACACAGAAAATATCAGCCTCCTCTTTCCTTCCTCCCTCCCATCCTGCCTCCTATTCCTTCCTACTATTCCTTCCCTCCCTCCTTCCCAGGAAGGGAAGGAAGGAATCCTTCCTTCCTCCCTCCCTCCCCAGATGAATCTTAAGCATAGAATCCCTTGGCTAACTAAGAGATGAATGGGAGGTGAGGTGGGGCAAACAAATAGTATCAATAACTCCTTGCAAAGTCTCACATGACTGGAAGGGGATGCCCAGTAGGAAGAGGCAGACCAAACTGTGGTTTCTGGTGTTGTCATATTTTTTGGTTAAAAGCCTTATTTAGATGCTGAAAGAAGAGCCAGGTGGAGAGGGAGCCACTGAAGTGTCAATAGGCGCAGATTCAATGCCCGATAGAGCTGGATGCAGGAGCTGAAGCCACAGACCAGAAGGACACTGTCTCTCTTGAGACTAGAGGAACCACAGTAAGGGTACAGAGGTATCCGCACCTGTCTGCACTTTGGAGGTTGTTTTGCTTTGTGTGCAGTCTATTAATTTAGGGGCATTTTGTGCAGGTGGCTGGAAGTTGACTAGGTTGGGGTAGAGAGCCAACTACTGCCTGGTGGCAGCACAGAAGACTTGTTGGTACACTCCTCAGCACTGCTGGGCTGGTCCTGCCTCAGTGCCAGTGGCACACAAGCAGGTGTTTTCAGAGTCACCTGAATAGAGAGCCTATTACCTGGACTGACGTCAGGTGAAGGGCTATTGTTTTGTATTATTCATGTCATAGCATTTGGCCTGCTTTAAAGGAACTCTTCCTGACTACGGGGAAGAGAAAGTACTTTCTTATGAAGAACACAGCTTTATAATAGAATTTGTTGTGACGGCACTTCACCTGCCCAGGCTTTGTCTTTAAAAACCTATGTGCTTATAAACTTGGTAGCAGAAAGGTTTGAGAGGCAGTAAGCAACCAGCTAAGGATGTTATTGAAAATGTTACTGTCCCTCTCCAGCTCTCAGTTCTTATCTGCACAAGAGGGAGTGGGTCTGGGGCCTGCCTGCTTCCTTCCTCCCTCCCTCCCATTACCATGCATGCTTCCAGCTCCTAGCAGATGCAGGGTGCAACTGCAGGCCCTGTGGGTATGCAGAGATAGACAAAACCCAATTAAACCGTTGTTCCTACCCTCAGTTAATCTGCAGTTCTGCAGGGAAACTATAATTCAAATCACTGTGCTATAGTTCAGGTTTCATCACTTTGAAACACTTTCAGCATCTTCCCCACCAGTTCCCCTGCCTTTGTTTGTTTTCATCTACCACTTCCAGGAGGATCTTTCTGAAGCCCATGTCCATTCTGTATGCTGCTCTTCAGCCCCATAACACAACAGGCACTCCCATGACTTTTTTTTACTCATGCTTTCCTCTCCTTATACTCAGTGTCTCCCAATTCAATTTTCAAGGCCCAGCTCCTGGCTTTTCCTGCACCCATTCCCTTGGCGGACTGAATTGCCCCTTCCCGCCATGCTATCCACGCCTCAGTTTTAGCATTTATCAGGGTATGATTATCTACCTACCTGTCTGTCTCATCTAACAGCCTACAAGCACCTGTATTGGGGAGGAACAGACCTTAACTATTTGGTTTCCTCAGTGTCTGGCACTTAGCTGGTGCTGAATCAATGACGGTGAAGTCACTGAATATCATAGGTGAGGAGTGAGTTAGGAGAGGCACAATCTCTAGAAAAAGTGCTGGATATAAATGTCAGGGTGAAAACATTTCTGCCTCTACTCTCCCAAGCCATAGCCATGCATTTGGAGGAATCCGAGAGACCAAAGACCTGGGTTTGTTGTTTGTTTTTCATTTCAAACATAAGGAAACAAAGCATTCAACACCAAACACTCATGAACCCACCATACAGTTTAATAAATCTTGTCATTTTGTCATACTTACTTCAGATATTTTTTTCTTTTTTAAAGACATATTACAGGTAATGCATGCTCTGCATCCCAAAGGGATCCATTCTCTTTCTTTGTGAATTTGATATTCATCAGACTGATGTAGGTTTTGACACCTTTATTATATAGGCATGTATTTCTAAACAATGTTTTGTTCTGCTTTTCATATTTTAAAACATATTCACTTGATATTGATTCATACTAAATGTATGAAATTGCAATTTGTTTCCCCCTTAATATTTTTTGAGATGTACCCGTGTTGATATTTCAGATTTAATTATGATAATATGCTAATTTGTTTTGACAGTTGCATTCCATTAAGCGAATATACCAATGTTACTTGCTCATTCCCCTGCTGGTAGATTTTTTTTTTTGCTATTATAATTGATATGACAAAAACATCCTTGCATAGATGTAAGAGAGTTTTTCCCGTGTATTTGGAATTGGCATTTCTGGGTTTTAGGGAATACTCATCGTCAGCTTCACTAGCGAGCAACCTGTTGCCGTCCAGAGTGGCTGCACCAGTCTACTCTCATCCCTGCTGTTTACCCAGCATGCAGTACTGCCATCTGCACTTGGTAGTGTCAGACTGGAAAGTCTTGCCAATCTGATGGGGATAAAATGATCTCCTCCTGTGATTTTAATTTGCATTTCCCCAATTATCATGCAGATGAGCTTCTTATGTTTATTGGACATTTGGGTGACATTTATTTGTGAATTTCTGATTCATACCCTTTGTTTTGTATTCTATTGGGTGGGCTTTTCCTTACTGATTACAGTTCTTTATATATTCTTGGTATAGCCTGTGACTAGTCTTATCTGGTTTATTGTGTCTTGTTTTGAACAAGTTTTAATCTTAACTCAGGCACATTTTTGTATCTTATATGACCTGTAGTTTTGCTGTTGCTATTATTCTCTCTTTAAAAAGTATTTTCCCAACCCAATATCATAAATGTAATCTCTTTCATTTACATTCTCTTTCAAAAAATCTTAACATTGTACTCTCATGCATGTTCCATCTTCAAAGTTAATTTTTCCACATGGACAATTAATACCCACACTGTTTATTGGATGGCCTATCCTTCCCTTATTAACACCACCTCTGTCCTTTATCAGGTGTTCATGCATATGTTGGTCTACTTCTGGGCCCTCTGTTCTAGCCCATTGGTCTATTTGCCTACTCCCGCACTAATTCCTTCATATCAATGGCTCCATAACAGGTCTTAGCTGGCAGGGTCAGTCTGCCCTCCTTATTCTTCAAAATCACTTAAGCCATTCTTTGGCCATTTTTTTTCCATACAAATTTTACAACCAGCTTGTAAATGTCTAGGAAAACCCTTATGGAAATTTTGATAGGTTTTTTATTAAATTATATATTAATTTGAGAGAAAGTCTCATATTTATGGTACTGAATCTTCCAACCCATGGGCCAGATAAAGCTCTTCATCTATTTGGGTTTCCTTTTGTGCACAGGACCTGACAATGACCCCAGAGCATTGTTCCCAAAGGAATCCCCAGTGAAAAAGCAAAGACCATCTGAGAAAGCTATCACACTGGGTGTGTGCAGAGCCAAGCCAGCAGGAAATGAAAGCAAGCTGTCTATACTGACTGTTCAAGCATGGCTAATCCAGGGATGGTAAGTAAACTCCCGCTTCCTCATCACACTGAGGCAGGTACTGCTAGTCCACCATAACAGGTCCTCCATGCCTGGGGCCCTCCACTTCCTTCCCAACCTGTGGCATGCAGAGTAAAACCAAACCAAACCTCTCTAGGCAGACAAGCATTTGCTGGGACATTCTGACAACCCAATATTGGTTGCTCCAAGGGACTTCACAGGCCTGCACAAGGCTCTAAGCTTAGTCTTTAATAAATAGAAGTGCAGGCACATCAGATATGTAACCTTCTATTTTAGAGATTGCTTACCCTGGAGAAATGGTAGATTATAGGCAAACCAATTAGCTGAGTTGGCTGAATGGAGACATTCTTTGCTGCAGGATCTGGTATGAGCTTTTCATTCCAGCCACCAAGCTACTCTGTTTCTATATATACAGAGCCCTTGAAGTCTGGTCCCTGAATGCTGGGCAGTAGAAGCTCTTTATGGTTCCTTACACCTTTTATGGAAACAAATCCTTGACAATATAGTATGGAAAGATTACAAGAGAGGCATAAAGATCTCCGCCTTGCTCCCTTCTGGGCCTTTGCATCCAGCGCACAGTAGGTACTTGTCTGATGCAGGTTAGAGTCAGATAATATCCATTAAGTACTTATCATGTGTTAGGCCTTGGGTTAAATGCTTCAAAGATATGAAGCCATTCTGTCCTCACTTCAGTGGTATTATCTCCATTTGGAGATGAGAAACCAAGGTTCGGGGAGCTGAGGTGACTCATCCCATCAAGGTCACACAGCCAGTCAATGATCAAATTGTGAGCAGAGGTCTACCTACCTGTGACTGTGGAACTCAGGTCCCATGTCAGTGGAGGAAGTGAAGAAAAGGGAGAGAGGAGGAGAAAGAGGGGCAGGGAGAAACAGTGGAAGAAAGAGACAGGAAGAAGGAAGCTAAGAGTGAGGAGAGCAGGCTGATGGAGTTGAAGGCTGCAGGCCTCCCTCTGATGCAGACTCACATCCTGGGGTCCTGTGAGTCCAGAAATCTCATTGTAGCAGTCTTACCAGAATGCTGTGTTTGTCCCTTGGAAGAAGGAGAGAAGGAGGTCAGACATTCACAGATGAGGATCCTCTCTGAAGGGGGAGGCACAGTTCCTTGAGGGCTGGTGAGGGTAGGGGAGAATCCTGAGCCCAATGACTGAGATAACCCCACCCTTTATGATGGGGACAGAAAAGCCATAGCAACCTCATGACCTCTGTAGCCTAGAAGAGGGGCTCAACTAAAGACCAAAGGGAGCACCAGAGAGATGATCAAAAGACTATAATTTGGTTAAACATTAAAAAAAAACCTTCATCCCTGACTAGGTGGCTCAGCTGGTTGGAGTCTCGATCCATACCAAAAGGTTGTAGGTTCACTCCGCAGTCAGGGCATATACCTAGGTTGCCAGTTCAATTCCCAATCAGGGCACATATAGAAGGCAGCCAATTCATGTTTCTCTCTTATATAGATCTCTCTCTCTCTCTCTCCCCTCTCCCCCTTGCTCTCTCTCTCTCTTTGAAAGCAAAACAAAAAACAAAAACATATCCTCAGGTAAGGATTAAAGAAAAAATTCTCCAGAATATAAAAACTATTTATTGCTAGGGATAGAACTCTGGAAATTTTTTTGGTTCAAATGTTCTATTATATGCATGTATCACAATGGATATAATTCCCTTTTGCTTCATTTGCAGGATGTTAAAAGATCATCCCCACCTCTCAGTGGGTGGATGGAGTGGGTGTGTGTGTGCAGAGGGCTTAGCTGTGGGCCAGGGGTGGGGGGAGGCCAGGGCAGGGCAGGGCTGGCAGTACTGTGAGCACAGACTCCAAGGTGAGCTTTACCATTACATGTCGCATTGCTAGGCCATTACCTCAGACAGGAAGGAGCCTCTCAGGACTTCTGACTCCACTTTCACCTCCCTCTTTCCTGCTTCCAGCTCCCCAGAACTCCTCCCTTTTCTGATGGACGCTGAACAAGTTCCCTGAGGCCAACTCTTCCCCCAGGCTCTCTGGGGTATGGGCTTAATTAAAAACCAGTCCAGTTGCCCCCTCAATAGGAAATGGGGCAGACAGGATGCTGGTGCCAAAGCAAGCCAAAACCCTAGTCAGCGTGGGAGGCACCCACAAGCTTCCTGCTGTACCCACTGGGCCCAGTTGCAGGCCTGCCAGGACAGGAGAGGCTGGGGCTGGGTTCTTGGGGGAGCTGACTGGCTTTAGACCTGGCAGGGGCTCCTGGGCATGTGGGTGGGGCTCTGATAGGAAGATTCTTTGGCATTTGCCAAGGATACTTACCCTCAGGTGGGCAGCAGCATCTTGTTTCTGAAGGGACTTCCTGTATGAAACTTCCTGTTTGAAACAGGAACTCGTTTTAGAGTCAGGAACAGGATCTGGCTCGCAAGAGGAAAGGTGGGAAAAGTTAGTAACACCTTCGGATCCCAGCCAGAAGAGGCTCAGGGGGCTTCCCATTCACTGGGAAACCTGGGAGAATTGGAGCAGGAGCTCAGTCATGCAGATTGGCCGGAAGAAGGGCTGGAGCCCAAGGACAGCTTCCTCAGGAGCATTTGGGTCCTGAACAGAGATCTAAATCCTCCCTCTCCCACTGCACAGATGAGATTCCCACTAGGGCTCAGGCCTGGTTTCCCTCTCCTGGGTCATGGGCCTGGGCAGACCTAATAGGACAGTTTTAAGACCTGACCTGCAGGTAGGCCTGGCTGGGGTGAGCAGGGACTGACACCTTCACTGTCACTGTATGAATAACAAAGTGAGAATCTCAAGTGGAACCTCTTAATCATCTGATTTTACCCTCCAAAGTTGCTGATACTGACAAAGCACTTGGCTAGAGTTGATTCTGTCACTTCTGAAATTGGACAATTGCATTTCCTCATTCCCATACTGAAGAGTCCTTAGAAAAAAATGAAAAAGAGGAAACCAAGGCCCAGAGGGGTAAACACTACCAGCTAAATCATACCAGGTGGGTCACTTCCTCCATTCCTGGCCCTTGGCAGGCAGTGAGCACTGCTCAGTCACTGCGGTCTTTCCCACTGAGCCCAGGGCAGTTGACAATGCTCAGCAGGGCCCTGCAGGCCTTCCTCTCCAATTGCTCAACTTGAACCAACTCCTGTGTGATGACATGAGGAGCCAGAGAGGACAAACAGAAAGTGGGCTGCAGGGAAGACGGAATCATGGAGAACAAAAAGGTCTCTGTTATCCTTGGCCACAGTAACGTTCTGCTGCTATGGCAGATTTTATTTCCCAAAGGTGGTCCCAACATTGGGAACCATCTCCCACCTGACGTTCTCTTTTGACATGTGATCTTGCCATTTCTACATCAAGAGGTGGTATCTATTTCCTTACCCTCGTGAATCTGGGATGATGCTGTCGCTATTTTGGCCAATAAAATATAGAGGAGGTGATGCCATACCAGAACTAGCACAGCCAATTGGCCCTGAAGCTTCTTCTTACTGCCTCTTGGAACCCAGAGGCCATGTTGTGAGAAGCCATGCCACACAGAAAGGTCATGTGCAGTCAACAGCCCCAGCTGAGCCCCAGATGACAGCACCGAGCACCCGCCACCTGCACAAGCTGTCTCAGATGCCTCGTCTGCTTGCACCTTTAGATGACTACAGCCCCAGCTGACCTCTGACTGTAATCATGAAAAACTCCAAAGAGGAATTGCCCAGCTGACACCAATCAATGCACAGAACCATGGGCAACCTTATTAAATTGTTTTTAAGCCACTAATTTTGGGGTGGTTGTTACTCAGCAATAGATAGCTGGAACAGAAATACACTACTCCAAAACACCATAAACAACCATAAACAACCACCATAGATTATTTCTCGTGAGTCTAGTTGCTCGTCTGTCTTCAGTCAGTTGGCAGGTTGACTAGGGTCTGGCTGGCCCGGGGTGGCCTCAGCTGGGACAGCTTAGGTCTCTGTGATTTCTCACTCCTCGACAGGTTGCCCCAGGCGGTTCTCATGACAGCAGCAGGGATTTAACAGAGTAGAAGACACAGGCTTCTTCGGAGCCAAGTTTGGAAATGGTACACTATTGCTTCCACTGAGTACAGTTCAACCTCCTGGGCAGCGTATATTTAAAGGGTGGTAACGTGGATTCTATCCCTTGATGGGCAGAGCCACAAAGTCACATTATGAAGGGTGAGGATGCTGGGAGGGGGTTGAGCAGTGTGGCTGTTTTTGTAATCAGTGTATCCCAATATCTAATGAGGATATTAAGAAGCCAACAGGAAGAACAGAGACAGAATCATGGGTACAGAGAGCATTTTGATGGTTGGCAGATGGGAGGAGATTGTGGGGAAATGGATGAAGAGGTGAGGGGATTAAGATGTACAAATAGGTAGTTACAGAACAACCATGGAAATGTAAAGTACAGTATAGCAAATGGAGCAGTGAAAGAACCTATACACATGACCTTATGGACATAAACACTGGTGCGGGAATTGCCTGAGGGAGTGGGGGGGATGCTGAGTGGAGGGGAGCAAAGGGGGAAAAATTAGGACAATGGTAATAGCATAATCAATAAAATATAATTTTAAAAAAGAAGTCAGCTGGGGCGTGTGAGGTTTAAATCCCTATTCTGTTCTGACTGACATCTGTAGTTAAATCTCCATCACTCAGTGTTACTTTTCATTATTTAACTTTCCAGCCTATACACATGGAGGTTAGGAGAAGAGGGGCCACCAGGAGGAGCTTTTGAATGGCCAGCCCTCTCTGGTCCAGTGGTTTTCAGACAGTGCTCTGTGAAGCCCTGCACTTCCGTGGTGGCTTCTCAGTGGCTACCAGGAAGGGAGTGGTTTGTACAAGTGTGAGGTCCCCCCGTCTTAACCAGGGCAGCTCTGCTCTCTCTTGTCATTTCCTTTGGAGAAATGTTATACAGCTTTGAAAAAAATTTTTTAGAATGAGTCAAACTCCCGTGAACTAGACCAACCTCTCTATCTTATAGAAAATGAAACAGTCTTAGCGAAGTTGAGTGTCTGCTTCAAAGGAGTTCTTGGCTGGTATTAGAACCCTAGTCTACTGACTGACACATCATCCAATCCAGTACTAGTTCCTTACCTTATTTTCCCTTCCTTCACTGAGTGCAACACGGGAGAGGATTGCTGTAGCCAGGTGGACAGAGGAAAACTGAGGCACACAGAAGGCTATTCTGACACTTTTGCATTCTCTACTTCTCCCAACAAAGAGACCATTCATAGTCCTTGAGCCCTGAGCCTCAGTGACCCCCCCACCACACACACGCACATCCTCACATGATCCCCACAAGACTTGAACCCCAGAACCACAGACAGTTCAGCACATGGTATTGGCAGATGGGCTGAGCTTTCTGGTCAACCCCAGGGTGGAGCAGGGTACATGATAGAGCTGACTCCTTCAAGGACAGGTGGAGCTCCATCCAGAAGAAAAGCTCATTTCTGAGAAGAAATGGCTGGTCTTGCTGGGAGCCTGTGATCTTCTTATTCTTGTTTCAGTGCGTTAATTCCATTTCTTTCCAAGTTAGTTTTTTTAGGACGTGGGCTATTTATAGCTCCTCCTAAGCCCTTTCCAGTCTGTTTCCTGTTCAAGTACTGCATTAGTCACCAGAAAGAGTCTCAGGCAATCTCCGAGTCCCTGACTAATCTCAGCAACAGGGAACAGGGATGCTGGGCAGATGCAGAGCGGGTCCCAGTGAGGAGGGGACAAGCAGGAGACAGCAGGCTGCACAGGGAGGCAGAGGGAGCTTGTCCTCTGTCCTTTGGGTCATGAAGCCCTGAGACCTTGTGGCGTCCTGAAGTTTACTTAGCCCTTGGAGACACAGAATCTCTGCATAGGCACCTCCATTTGGCTGCATATTTTTGCCATTACTTGCTGACCTATTTGCACGCAGCTCCTTGCAAAGAATTCCCCCACAGGCCATATACGGTGATCTCATTGCACCACAAACAGGCTTCTATTTGAAGTGGTGATGGATGCTCCTTCTGACTTTTCCTCCTCCCTGTCCTTATATCTTTCCCTTTACTGCAGGCCGCCTCTGCTGCTCTGAGCCTTCTCCAAGTTCAGGTCTCATCAAGAGTATTCATTTCCCAGGAACTTACCAGCTTCATGTGAAAGGAAGGCCTTTGACTTGAGCTGAGTTTTTGTATCCACAGGCCCAGAAAGCAGTGACCTTGAGGCCAAGGGGAAGAAAAGGAGACTTCAGGCAGGTGAGTGGGCAAGAGGGCAGCAACCAAGTCCTCCATTCCTTTCACCTCTCTGTGCCTTGTTCATGTAGGTTCTTTGCCTGAAATGCACATTCTAGACTGGGGTGAAGGTATCAAGGGATCCATTGCTAGAAATCTTCAGCATGCCACCAACATCTCCTGGCAGGCTCTGGCCACCTTGACTGCTTTGATGAACTTCTACAAATTGCTGGTAAAGGAGATGAGTACAAGTTTTCTGACTCTGCCTTGCTGGGGACAAAAGAGGGAAAGGTAGAGGGAAGTCTGAGCTTCTATTTGCACAGCAAGTCAGCAGGTGGCCCACATCCCAGACACTATGATCTTTCCAACTGTAGCCTCCTCACCCCCAGTCCCTAAACACAGGGATTCATGTGTTTTGAACAAAGCTCCTGAAGGCTTCAGAGATAACACACTCAATGTTCTCCTCAGGGACAGTGGCCTTCTCAGCCCCAGGCTCAGGGTGCAAAGACTACCTAATACCAGACAGTCACTGAGCACCTACTTTGTGCAAGGCTGCTTGCCAAGTGCTGTGGAGACAAACACTCCAAGCCAGAGGTGGTCTTGGTGAGAGGGTACCTGATCTAAACACAACCCTCCCATCTAACTCAGAGGGCTGGCATGCACACCAGTGCCCTGAGCAGAAGAGGAAGAAGAGGAAGAGGGGAAGGAGAAGGAAATTAGACATGAGACGTGCCTGCCAGGCACCAGCCCGGATCCAGGCGTATCAGAGCAAACCTTAGCTGTGATTCACATCAGCAATCTGGCACAACTACGTTTATTTCCATCCTAGGAAATTTATTACAGACTGCCTACCCACAGAGCATGCTCAATTACATCCTCAGAAGGACAAGAGCCCAGAAGACGCAATCATGGATGGCTGACTCAGGCTTAGTCAGGGATAGGTTGCTTCTGCCAGCACTTGAGGCCTTGGAACTGATTCCCAAGAGATGGGTGACCCAGGAGCGAGGCAGGGACGTGAGGATCAAGCAGGGACATAGCTCCTCTGGGGCCATATAGTAGATTCTGAATCAGAGAGCATTCTGAATTGAGACCCTCTTTCAATTTTCTGTTAAAATGAGACCCTCCCCCTCTTCCACCTTTTAAATGATGAAAATCAACACCATACACTAAAGTCCAGAGAACATTATACATT